GGCCGGGGCGGCCAGCATCATGAGCTGTTGTACCCAAGCACACAAAGTATGTTTGAACGGTGTCAAAGATTCTCAAACTGCGATTCAATCACAGTTGACTCTGGCGCCAAGGTATGAAGGGTTGGGAGTGTAGGCTTGATGGCAGCATGTTTGAACAGCTCGTACGTAAACCAAGTCAAGGCCATGCAGCTCTCCCAAAACAGCTTACTGAAGCGATTCTTTGAAGGTCTATGACTTTGATCTAGGCGGGTGCCCGATTGATGAAAAGCGCTCCGAAAGGATGCCATTTCCCAAGGTTTTTGTGAGAAGGAGTGTCTATATAGGGCACCTTGATTCGATGGAATGCTGAAATCCGTGCTCGTCAAAACTGCAGATCGCAACCCCATTCCCTTTCAAGCGCTACAATTTGACATCCTTGGAGCCATGGGACAACATCTGGTCGCAGGTGTGGGTGCGACCGGTAATGGTCAGCGGCGGAGACGGATCGTCAGCGCCTGAGTCTCAAGTCATTGAGGCTTTAGGGTATCTACGAGGCTCTAAAAAAATAGATTCTCACCACGAAAACCAAATCCCTTTTAGAGGCTCCTGAAAGAGGGATCCCGTTTTACGGAACCTACCATAGAAGCCTTGAACTTGTTAGAACAGGAATGGATCTTCTGGCAGTATTAGACTTCACAAAAAGTCGCTTTGTTGAAAGAATCCAGTATGAGAGGTATAACCTACAGGACACAAACTCGACTTCATTTGCGGGGTGACTCCTGCCATACTGTGAAACTTTTTGACAGTTGACTTTTTTTCCCATGTACCTGAGAGATCATTGTTTTTGGTTTGGAAATAGGCATGTATCGTCTAATTGCTCACTCAGCATGCCTTCACCTCCTAGCTATATTATGTCACTTGAGACTCTGTGGCAGCTGCATCCCCTTGAACAGTCCTCGCTTCGTGGCTGGGAGGCATGGCTCAAACAGAATTTTCGGATGGACTGAACGGGTATTCGTGAACTACACCTGCATACTGTAGTGAAAGCTTAAGCTGCAATCGCTCGACCGCGAAGGCTTGAATTCGCCATGAGCGGGATACACTTCCGAGATCGATATGCCCATTAGGCAAGGTACAGCAAGCGCCTAAGGAAACTTTGAACAATTTGATCTTGCCAGCATGTTGGGACCTACTCGTGTGTCAGTCCCCTAGACCCTACACCCTGGGGTGCCTGGGCGCTTACAGTTACCCCGCAACGGGTCAAGGGATATAAGCCCCTGACGGATTTCTTGCCTGACTACATGAGCTCCTTGAAGACTACAGCTCCCGTGGTACTGTGGATGGAGGGAATCTTGCACCACCTTGCCCACCCGAAAGTCTAGGATCACCAGATGTGTTGTTCAGTGCCGACAAACAGATTCTGAGTATTTGTTATGTTTGCTAACAACTGGTCGAACAACCCTGCATGCCCAAAGTTAGCCCAGTCGCACATCATCCGATCTAGATCTGTGCGGTTGGCTGCTAGCCTAGATTGGGTTTCGGCTTGCCGGTTTCAGGAAGAAGCACGCTGCCATCCACAAACAACTGACTCCCTCCACAACATCCTTATCTATTTGCTTGAAGAATTCATTATGGCTGACATTGTTTGCTAAACTCAAGCTGTCAAAAAACAGGTATCCTTTGGTCAATGTGAAGCTAGTACTTGTATGAGCTACAGTCGATATTGAACTAGACGACATGGGGTCTTTTGCAGGAATGGTGGAGACTAGTGTGTTTGAAGCAGAACTGCGGCTACCATGAACGCAAATAAGCCCTACGATAAACATCACTGAAGCCACATCTGACCTAAGCCCTAAACGCTGAGCTCATTGCAGCGCAAGGGGCATGGAGAGAGTGGGCTTTTCTCTGCCCTCGGAGGCCCTGCGCGTACGTCAGAATGCGTAAGGTTCGAGCAAGGCCGCCTGTAGTTTGACACTGGGTGTACATTTCAAGCTTACCAAGTACAGTCTAAGCTCCAGCCCTTCTCTGGACAAAGTATGTAAAGGTCAGGCTCTCTGTTGACTGAGACTGCCTCGCAGGTAGGTCACCTCAAGATCCACATCCTCCGACCACCATCCTTCTCCCTCACTGCATGAAACCAAACCTTCAAACTGTTAGATCCTATTCAAAAACTACTGCTGATGGAGAGGGCCGTTAGGGGTTCAACGTGGGCTCGAACGCCAAAGAACTGCTCGCTGGGGGAGAAGGGAGCTTCAGGATCATGGTGGTGGCGATGGGGGGGGGGGGGGGGGNNGTGGTGGATGCTGTGGGAAACCCTGGCACCCTCAGAAAAGCGAAAGACAAGAAAGCAAGTGTAGCAAGACAACGTGACACCAAAACGCAAGCAGAACCGCTTTAATATCCCGGGGCTTTCTGACCGCAGCCTTCTGTGAGAGAGTGTCAGGGTGCTGTCCCGCGTCGCTCCCCGAAGAGGTCAACGTCAGGTCATCACTCGCTATGACACTTCACAGACAAGCTGGTCTGAAAATATTTTGGGTTCACGGTAGAGCGGTCCGCCTGGTTTTAGTGCCTTATTACACTGCAGCCAGCAATCCAAACAAGAAATCGAGGAGGGCTTTCATGAGTTCCTGTCAAGCTTTACACCATAGGAACCATGCAAAATATCCACTTCCTCCTGTCCTGCTCATGGTCCCAAAACCATAGCACTACTCCCAAACGGCGCTTTGAGCGCCCATGGTCCATATAAGATGTCTCCTCGGAGGGGCAGTATGCCCCCACCTCAACCTGGAATTGAGACCAAAGGCCGAAAACTCGGCGTCCCGACGAGCAACGGTACGTGCTACTCATAACATCTAGCACAGGCTAGTGGTCAAACATTAGAGCGTAAATGTAGCTTGACCCTTGTCATTCAGGCCACCTGCCAGGCAAACTTTCGTCCCTCAAACCCAATCTGTATACCCGGCCATTTTGCTCATAGCATAGGGTCATTCTACATACTCTCCAAAATATCAAGATCCTAACAGTAGGCACCGAAAACATGCAGCCCCAGCATGGGACCATGGGGGCCTCCCAAAACCCCCTGAATCTTACACCCCCAAATGTAGAGATCCTTAAGCTCTGTACTTCTATAACTGCTCGTTCTTCTCTACCCCTCCGCAGTCGTGCCAGTGTTGTGGTATGAAGTCTGAGTTGCACTTATACTGGTTAGACGGAATTCGTTATGATTCATAATCACCCAGTCCGCAAAATGTTCATAACAATCCATGAAGGCCACAAGGACTGCGGATTGCATGGGAACCGCCCAGCCATATAATCCCTACATAGCTTCTCGAAAGGAGCAGTCCCCGTGCAAACACAACATGAAAAACTACTATACTCACTGGTGGTTTGTAAAGAATAACTGAATGTAACTTCATGAATTATATTGTTTTTAAACGTACGTGTAAAATCATTATCATTCATGAAGAACTGAATATAACCTGTATACAATAAATCCTTCTCTCTACATCCGGTAGTTTCCAAAAATAGGGGGACCCCAATACAGACCCCCGAATACTATGGTCCTTATTATAGGGACCCCAAAATGGTACCCCCAATTTTGGGAAACCCAAAACCATAAACCCCAAACTCTAAGACAGCCCTAAACTCTAAACCCTAAACTCTAAACCATATACACACCCTAATTCACTACTAACCGCCGGTAAGCTATGGCACTCCAAGCGGCCGAGTCTTTTGCTCGATGGATTTGCGCTCCGCAGGGGTCAGGCCAGCTCCGATCCTTCAGAAAAGGGAGTTTTGGTTCCCCAAAATTAGGGTTTAGGGTTTAGGGTTTAAAGTTTAAGGTTTAGGGTTTAGAGTTCAGGGTTGAGAGTTTGGGGTTTAGGGTTTCCCGAAATTAGGGGTACCATTTTGGGGATCCCCATAATAAGTACTGCAATATTATTGGGGTCCCCTTACTTTGGAAGGGGCTGAGGGCTTAGGTGGGGTTTAGGGATTGGGGATTTAGCATTTTAGGGTTTTCGTGATTTAAGGTTTTAGGGTTTGGGCGATTTTGGGGGTTACAGGGTCTAATGCGGACTAAGGGTTAAGGATTGCTACCCAGGGTCGGATGATAAGGATCCCTTAACTTACTGGTGTGAATGAAGGATTGGAAGGCAAAATGGCAGAAAATACAGGAAATGGATACAGCGACAGTTATGAGCAATCATTTAGGGACTACAATGGGTATGCAGTCCTCCATACCCGCCAAACTACCAAGCGTTGAAAGATGAGTGGGCCAGGCTCAGGCATTCCTTGCGCAGCGCTTATCAGACTGCTTCATTTTCGCCTCAATTGGCAGTTGGGCGTGACAATCCGTTCCATCTTCATCCTACACCCCGCCAACGATTCCGAAATGTAGCCCGAGATCCTTAACCCCACCCCACAAACCCAAGATCTGCGAATCAGCGTCTCCATTTTCTGAGACCCAACCGCGCCAAGGCTGCCTGCTTCCAGCGATTTCGCCACCTTGTTGGACCCAAGATATCCACAGGGCTCTACAGAGATCTGATGGGATGAGCTTAGAACTCTGCCCTCAGGACATTTATGCCCTGATACCCTGATTTTAATCATAGTTTAGGGAGTGCTGTCCCAGTGGCCATCTGAAAACTAATCCTTGATAGAACAGCATTCGTTGATCGGATTTTTCTTGCCTGCGGAGATCGAGCTACCGCCGCTCATGACCTTCCCATGCTAGCTGCCATGTACAGAAGGTTCGTGCCCATCTCTGGGATAAGAAAGAGTTTTCTCAAGGAAGTTGAGGCTCATCTGCCGCGCAAGACGGCTTGTAATGCTGCCCATCCACACTCCACCAAGTCACAATTGTTGCTAGAATCTCTCAAGGCCGGGTCTGACCACCTTGGGCCAACACTTTTACACAACTGCATGCGCGACTACTTGAAGATTCCAGACCCGCAACGCAACGGACCAACGAAGACAAAATGTGGGGTCAGGGTAGCCCTTTCCAATCAGACGATATGGTAAAAATTAGTCAGTCTCCCGAAGGCTTCTGATTTGATGACGGCCTCGTTGGAGTCCACATTTTCCTGGTCGTGCCTGAGCGACTTGTTCAGCTCTTATTGCCAGAGCGCTGGGGCTACTAAAGCTTTTGCAGAACTTGTGAGCAATGTCATAATGTTAAGGGCGTAGGATAATCTCAGCGGCCCAACGCCACACGTGTCTTGCTTCTTAAAAAACTTCTTAGAAACAGACATGAAACAAGTGAACATGCACGCTACCAAAGAACCAAGCTTCAAGGCTCCCAACAAAACTTGAAGCCAGTATAGGGGCCTATAAAGCACCTGTATTCCACAGCTCAAGTAGAAATCCCGATGCCGCTGCCTCCGTGTTGCTCAAAGCACTACAGTCCTGGGAAAAATGTCCTACATAACCCTGTATTAGACAGTATAGTAGTTTTTATTTCCGTTTTCTTTTCCTTTCTCCCTATTATAATCGCCGTATAACCCCTCGTTAAAGTCTGGTTCTTGTTCTGATGTGCATGGAGTAATATGCTTCCGGGGCTTTCATCCTTTCCTCTAACAATTCCTGCTGTATGAATTCAGCCCTAGTCCACCTTGTACTCAAATCTCCGCAAGAACATCATTTCTGACATGGGCACAATACTAACTTCTCTTTGGGCCCTTAAGGCATTTCTGGGGCTGCACGTGCAACATTGCAGTTGCAAGTTACGTAGGCCTGTTCAGTGCGGGGGGTTCAGGTTTTGAGGCTGAACTTGGAAATCCAACCAATCCGGAAGGCTCACTGGAAAACCACACAACTTGGGGTTCAGGAGTTCAGGGTTAACGGGATGCTGTTCTGGGCGGTTCCATGCTGAACATTCTTGGGACAGTCCCCGTCCCCATTCCCGGGGAGTGGGAGTACCATCCAAAAAGGGCCGGGGCAGCTGGTAGCTGATATAAGCAGGTCCTTCAAATTCATGCGGTGCTCATCTGCTGTATGAAGTCCCCGAGCCTCCATACTGTGGCCTTTGAACTTTACTAGGCTCAGCCATATCCGCAACCAGGCTTCAAAAGTTTTGCCTGCTGGGGCACGTCCTGTCACAGGGCATGCCCAGCCTTAACCTCACTGAGGCGCTGCTGGAGTACAACATGAAAATCAACAAGCTTGGTCAATCAGGTCCCAACTAGAACGCAGCAGATATGACCTCCACCCCTTTGGACGAATCAACAGGGTCTGCCTGGAAGCATCTTTGATGCCTCAAAGCACTCAAAACTCTCCAAACGCCCAAGTCTTGAGACAAAATGCACGCCGTGCTTGCTTCCGGCTATGCGTGCCATGTAGTCCATGTCTTCGCGATTGATTCCTGAGGCTCTCAGGCTGCAGATGTGCCAACTACTTACTAGCTGGGTCTTTGCTGAGATCTCAACCTTATCTTCTTCTATAGGCGGTTTCTGCTGCCGTTGAAAAACATGGGTATGGACAAATGTACGGATCTAGGATTGACAGTGAAATAGTTCCTTCATGTGCGCTTGAGAGCTTCTTGGTACTCAGCAGAAGCGCTACTGTGAGTGGAAACGACCCAGGTTGAGGTGTGCGCATTTGAGGATTGCAGGCTTTGGAGTCCAAGGGTTCGAGCGCTTGCCATTTCCTTCTTCCCAAGGAAACGCAGACCGACCCCCACGCGCTCTGAATACTTTCCACAAGGACTCAGGTCAGTGCTGGTGGCCGCGTCAGCTGACGCGGCACATGTATTTGCAGCCGTGGCAGTGGTGCTAGCAGTAGGTTTTGCAGCAAGAAGCAGCACAGAAGCAAGGCCCGACATCCACAACAGCCACGCTAAGCGCTAACAGTGAAACCAGCGCCTTGCACTACCCAGCCTACCCACCCAAATCAGCCATGCGCTGTGAATTCCAGATCCTGACTTGAGTAATGTTTTTTTTGGTGGTTGAACNNAAGATTATATTCCTTATATAAGATATTATACACCAAAAGGAGGATATGATCTTACTCTATATTGGGTACCATAGTATCCCCAAATAAAATACTACTCACTTGACTCTCAGACACAAAGCCCGACAGCTTGTGCACACACTCCAAAGTCCGTAATGAACCCTGTAAGGGCCCACCAGTTGAGTTGTATCTGAGACTTTCTTCAAACGAATCGGAAAGAAAGCCTCATCATCAACACCTCTACCCAAAGTCGCAAAAGTTGAACTCCTACTGCCAGAAATGCGTGCCAGATGGCACCTGCAAATGGGGAATGCATGTTATTTGGGGGTGGGCACATGTCTACATGACTCATGGTGTCAGGTGAAAGATCTTCCGTGGACATGCCCCTCCTAGAGAGTCGTTGTACTTAGTAATTGGATCGCAAATGTATTTCCGATCAATCAGCACGCCCCCTCATCTTGCTTGCATCACCACCCGCACTCACCGTATACTTGCTCCATCCAAACAATGCCTCGTTGTAGCTGACATTTTGGCATTTGATAGCGAAGTCTATGTAAACAAGCCAGGGGAAAAGAATTCATCGACAGACTCTGGCCAGGACACCCATGTGTCGAACTGGTATGCCCCCGTTCTCGAAATGCCCGCTGTAGCGAAAGACAACTATCCTCAGCGCTTAAGTCTTTATTTATGGGCCTCCAAAGCATATAAACAGAAAGATCCTGACTTCAGGGCAAAAAAAGGTGCCTCATAAGGGAGATTCCATAGAATGCTTCACCCCCTGCCAGCTTTGGGGTTTGGGATTTCCAGACTGTCAGGGCTAAAGCTTCAAGGTTTCCACTTTCTAGAACACGTTTTCAGTTTAAGTCTTTGCAGATGTTTCGCTCCGGATAAAGCAGCAATAGTTTGAGGACAACCATCGTCCTCAGCCTAGTTGCCTCTTGGTGTTTAGCACCTTCAAGCCACACGCCTGCAACATCCCCAATCCCAGATGCCTAAAGCCCACAGCTCGCCAATCTGTAATGAAACTCCCAAGCCCTCCCCATTTTCTCAAGTCAGTGTCCTGCAAAGGGCAGAGTCCGTCTCTACCTGCAAGTCAGTGCTTTCTGGTTCAGGGCTTTCTCGTTCTCCAAGGCCAGAAGCATGGGCTTGGTAGGTAAATGTGCAAAGACCAGTAAAAATCATACTGGTGCCTGGAGGGACCGAGGTTGTGACGAATAGACTGAATGTTTTCCTACGTAGAGTATGACTTACTAGCAGAGGCCCGCTTACGCTCGACAGTGTGAGTGCTTCGGGAGAGTCGCTTCAGACTGGCTTTCCCACCAGGGGAGCAGGGAGTGTTTGGGATGTTTGGGGACTTGCCTTCGGTCATGCAGGCTGGACTCAGCTTGAAAGAGCTTGAATCAATGTAGACAGGTCTCTGGTAGGACTGGCTATCAAAGGTAGTATTGTAAGACTGCCAAGGGGTCCTTCCAAAAATCTTGAGAAAACCGGAACTCACAAGCTTGATGGCATTGGGTGCTGGGGTGCTTGCTGCATTAACACCCTGAAAAACCTAAAGCCTGCCGGACCCCAAGTGCCTTTGCTGTCAGGTCCAGCAAATTCGACCTTCGAGGGCGGTTCCGTTGCCTCACGGGCAGCTTCGGCTTTTCTAGTCTAACGGCCTTGGCTTAAGTGTTTGGTTTGGGCGGTGGAGATGCCAGAGGGGTTTTGGGATGTCTCATTGAGCAGATCAAAGAGCATCTACTTCAAAAAGGCAGGAGGGACTTTGACCCAGAGTGGAAGTTTGGGGTGCCTGGACATTTCAGGCCATCCTAACCCCCTGCAAACAAGGCGCAATCAAGACTGTGACAATCAAACCCTACTCCATCTCCCCTGCATGAACGCTGCAAAGCAGCTGCCTGCGCCGCGATATACTGCACATGTATCTGCAGCAGGGCTTTACGGAATGTGACATCTGGCCCAGAACCCGAACCCTCCCGGCATCTATTGCATGCCCTCAGCACATCATCACCGTGTGAAAATTCAAGACAAACAGGATCATTTCGAGCCCCAAGCCCTGAACCTGCGAACCTAGCTTGCTGGTACTGACATGCGCCCTGCAAACGCTGTGGACCTGTGGGTGTGCTGTAGCACGGTCGCGCCCACAAGGCTGCAGACAGCCGTTAAAGCGGGCCCTCAACCTTTCAGCCCGAAGACCTTGCACCCCAATGCTTGAAACCCTAACACCTGAACAGCTGAGCCCTGAATGCTGGGGCCAGGACCAAGCGGCTGCATTGTTGATGCTGGCCCCACAGCGGCATTCAAAACCTGCAAAACTAGCATCCCCAGTAACCTAAGTTTTCCTAAGGCCCCCCGCTTTTGAGCATAGCTGAGTTTTTTCATGAAGATGCCAAAATTGGAAAAAGGGCTTACTCAAGTCACCAGAAAACAAGCATGAAGCTGAGCACAACAGGGTTTAAGGTAGGTATTTGGGATTTTGGGACTAGGAGCAGACTCTTCATGTTTACTGTGGCAATGATACCTTAAGGTTGAACTGGGTGTCAACTTTTCTGGTCTGTTGCAGGTATACCCTATTATACTATAGTAGTTTCCATTTTCTTTTCCTCTATTGCTATATACCCCCTATATTTGTATATATATATATATATTTATTTGTACACTTTTCATACTATAGTAGTTTCCATTTTCTTCTAAGGCCGGAGTGGATTTTGAACCCTGGGTCCCAACCGTGATGTACATCCCAAGCCCCAAATTCAGCAGAATTTCCAGGCCTTTCTTGCCGATGTCCTTGGCAAAGCGGTTGATGCCACTCAAGTAGGGATCTACTATGGCGGCCCTCAATCTGTTTGTGGAGCTTTGCACAGCCCTTCTAAGTTCTCAGGTCTTGGGTCATACCCTGTACAATGCTATCCAAAACATGCCCGTGTGGAGATTTGCTCATCCAGGAGTGCCCCGTAAAAAGGAACCCCAGCTTCGGAAGTTCTGCGATACATGGGATGCAAGAAGGTGCAGAACATTAAGTATCAGCTTTAACCTGGCCAATCCAACTGAATTCAGGAACGCACGTGATGCATATAAACTCCTATCGGGATCCATCTTCTCAGGATTTCAGAGATTTCCCTCATCTGGCTCTGGCCTGTTTGGAAGGCTTCTAGGGTCTTCCGATGATGCCCGTGTAGCAGGCCCAATAAGTGACAATGCAGATGCTCCTGTCTAGTCCCCCGAACCCTGCCAATATCCATTGAGGACCTGGTGTCAACAATTCCTTGAGCTCCACATGCAAAACAAACCTAAGCAGAGCATAAGCCCAGAGTTGGGTGCCCATTGCTGTAGACATTCGGCCCTGCTGCAAACTCGAACTGTGTTTTCCAGATAACTTGCAGCGTAAAGCATACATTGCGTGCACCATTTTGGAACCACGCTCGAGATGGCCACGTACGTCTGAAACTCAAAGCTTGTTGCATAAAAGCCTCGACTCCTCGCAAAATCGTCAGTGTCTCAACCCAAGCCTACGCCCTAAAACCTACATGCGGAGTTCTCCAGTCGCGAAACTCACGGCCTGGCTTAGAAAACTGTCTATCCCAAGCCCCAAACCCCGAAACCCAGAAGCTGCAGTCAACTGCAAGTTCATCGCGCGGTTAGATTGTCACAGTAGACAATTGAAAGGTCGAGGGTTTGGGCTGCTGCTCAAGGTCACAGCAAGTTAAGCCCCAGTCCTAGCAGAGGCCCTGCATCCTGCAAATGCGCTTGCAACCGTGAGTCGAGAATACCCGCCATGTCGAGTCCTTCAAGAAGTTGGTGATGGGCTTGGAGGTTTTTTCTTGGAAGTGCTGCATCACCCAGAATAGGAAATATGACATATTTGAAGGCTTGTATGGGTGAATTCTGTTTCGGACATATCTGCTTGTTGGCCAGGGCTCAGCAGTGAGATTGCAGCTTCAGGGAGGCCACATTCCAGTTCTGGACTTATATATCCCTCAAAACCCGTATATCCATATATAAAAATATAATATCTTCTAAGGGCCGAGGGCATTCAAGCTTTTGCCTTTAATCTTAAACCCTCATCCCAGGGGTTTCAGCAGGCCAGGTGCAGCTGTCCCAAGGCTTCGGATCCCCCTCTGGGTGTCGTTGAGCGAGAATTTAGGGTCCGGGGCCCTTCAGGAACAAGAGCCTTAGACTTGTTTATCGGAAGTTTTGGAACTCTTCCCCTAAACTAGTTTTAGGAACAAAACCGTCATCTTGAATTCTCAGGTGCATCTCTGGCTTATGATGAGGTAGGAAAATCTCTGACGTCCCCCTGAATCATTCGATGGACCCCAGGCCGTAAAACATTGTGAAAATCATCGGGTCCTGCCTGAATGACCCTGAAGCCTCAGAGCCCCAGCAACCCCTGCATTCCTTCGCCTACTAGTGCAGCTCACTAAAAAAGGCCCATAGTTTCTAAAACCTCCCTCTGCAACTCTAAGCTGTACAGACCATAGAAGGGGACACATCATCCCACGCCAGCCTTTCGAGACACAGAAGCGCGGACATTCCAGAGAATCCGCGCCTTCCATTGTCTCTAACACTTGCCAACCCTTTACAATTCGTTGGTGAGATGTACGCCTAGCTTCTAACGGGCGGATAGAGACAGAGGCAGAAAACACGGTAACCATGCTGCTAGTGGCGCGGCTGCTTCAACTACCATTGCTGTCACGAGCACCGCCGCCACCACTGCGAGTGCCACTAGCGCCAGCACCACCATCTACCATGCAACTCCACTGCCACCCTTATTGCGTGTAGGGCTAAAGGCAGGAGTTGTGGTTACTTAACCTGAAGTTCCCAGCCGTCGCAGGTAGCTAAGAGATGCTTAGCCCGCAGCGCATCTGCTGAAGCAATCCGCAAGCAGAGCTCGTTACCACCACAACACTTGCTAGTCGATTGGTAAAGCTTTCCATGCATCAAGGAACAAAGGGCGATGTATTGCCAGCCATATTAAAAGAGCCTCAACAAACCATGTAGGGTGGCATCCACAAGACTTTGCAGCATCCACGAACCACACCCTGGAAACTCAACAGCTCCGTCGACAGCGCGTTATTTGATGACACCCAAACCAATATGGACCTCGTTAAGCGAAGCATGACTTGCACAGGAAGTGCGGCCGACACTAAGCAACAAGCCGCCAAAAGCCCGACCCTGTTATGGCACAAGTATCAAGCATGCTTCAGCCAATAATTATGGAACAGGCCAATCACCAAGTGTCAGCCTAAGTAGATCCTGGAATTTAAGGGGTGTCGCCAGGAAAATGCAGGAGGGCCTTCCCTTATCTGAGGATTAATGCAACGTCGAACCAAAGGCACCCAAAAGCTGTTGGAGCCTTCTGGCATGGCGAATCTGAAGAAGGGGAAACCTTGCTCATTCTTGGACCTTTCTCTTCAGGACTGTAAGATCCAGACCCCCGGCCCTAGGTCCTACTATAGGATCCCGGGAGGAATGTGGAATTCATATCAGGGTAGACGGAAGTGTACTTGCTCTGGGACCCGGTACCTCCTTCGCCGTTACGGACTATGGCTTGCAGCTGCGGGATCAAAGCTTTTAAGCTTAGACTTAGAACTTTGGCTTTACGAGGAGTCCCTGGCCTTGATCGCTCCTGGTAATTTTTGGGGCGCTGAGAGCAATCTTTGAACTCCGGAAGAGAATGTCTGTCATTCTGATTCATTGAACAAAAGCCGTCGGATGGAGGTTCTCCACGTCACGGGCACCTGGAAGGACTTCCTGCCATGAGGTACCTGCTGCTTGTGCTCTTGTTGGTTGCCCACGCCACCGCGACAAAAATCAGGATCCCACCACGGGCCCTCCCAAACTGCGCAAATCGCTCTGTACCTGTCCGTCTGTCTCTCAGTCGCCTCCATCGCTTTGCCTCCCTCTCCCTCTCTCCGCCTCTCAAAAAAAACAACATGATCGAAAGAAGCCATCATGTCAACAAATCCAGGAGCCAGAGCGACAGCGACCCTCGCCCTGGTAGTCTGCCTGAGCAAGGCGTGCTCGGGGGGCAACCTTGATAACCCTACTATAGCATACTATTTTGTATACAATACTAACATTAC